GGGGGGGGGGGGGTTTCCAGATACAGCACACAAGAAAGGCTGTGTTATTTCTATAACCTTTTCAGGCTATACTAGGCGCTCCGTTTTAAGCAGACAATCCCCGCCCCCTCCCCCCCACCCAATGCTACCTGCTTTGAAATCAATGGCACAGAATATCCCTTTGTGTATGTAATCTGAGGAAGTGTATCACCTTTGTTCACGAATTTGGGCTATACAACCATTTGTATTGTGCCTTTTAAATCTCATCTAATCCCCAACTGCAGATTGCCAAATTATAACATAGCACTTGCCCACCAAAGAAGACATTAAAAAAAAAGAAAATGGAGCCAAGAATATCACATCCAGAAAGTCTCCAGAGGCTACTTAATTTAAATGAAACATTCCACTAAGAGTCCTTGTTTGGAATATGGCAGAATTTGGAAAAAATTCTGTGATCTCCGTCATCCTGCTAGTTTTGAGCATTGCACGGCCGCTAGACCTTGGTTACGCTCAGGAGCGGGAAGGGGTTTTAAAGCAGAACAGAACCCCATCGACTTCAACAACATTGAAACGAAATGAAAGATTTCAGGACCGGGCCCAGAAGTTGGTGCGTTCATCAGATAAACCCAATACACGTTTCTCTCGCTTTATGCAGGTTGTGTATGTACAAAATTCACTCTGATGCGATGACCCTTTTTAAACCAAAAATTCATTATCAGCAAGGTCAATTCACTCTCATGGGATGGGTGCAGTGCATTGTGGGAGCGACATGCACCAAAATATAGTCTCCCGTGTGGACCTGTGCTGCTCGCTCCTTGTCCGTGACACGTGTTTTAGTTGTTGCCCCCCGTTACGGTAACATTCGCCGCCACCCTGTGCTTGTGTGTACTGCCAGCTGTTGGCAAGTCCCAAAACTGTCCTTAAAAGCGGTGGAAACAGGTCTGGGGGACAGTACCGCCCAGGTCTTGGAAGGTATCCCCAGTTGTTACATTGTAAAGTGGGTTCCCTTTATGCCAATTCAAGTTATGTGCTGGTTTCCAGGACGGCTAGTATCGCATAAAGCTGCACACACACTGGTGTGGAAACAAAAAATCAGGAGGAGCTGTGCATGGAGAGCAGCTGAGCTTTTCTTTAATAAAGGGTAAGGGACCTGGAACCGGAGCGTGCCTATTTTCTGCCTGCATAAAGATCCTGGGCCTGTCCCTTCTGCACTTTGCACACTTGCTACCCCTCCTTACGGGCCGGGGTTTCCACGCTGAGCAGCAACGTGGAGTTGCTGTTGTGTCACACAAGTGTAGCAGAAAAATGGCCTTTTGCTCTGAGAACTGAGCAGGGGGTGTCGATTTGACTCCTGCTGCAGATTCCTCTGTGGATGACCACGTACCTAGACTCCTGGAGGCCCCAGGCAAAATTTTTAATATGCCCCCCCCCTTTGCCAATAATAATGATTATAATCATCATTATTTTCACCATTTTGGGCAGTGAGCAGGGAGCGGAAAGCAGAGCAGCAGATAAGGCAGGAAGCAGACAGCAGAGCAACAGCACCAGCCTCCTGCAGCCTTGAGGGAGGGCGGAGTCAAGCCTGGGCGGGATGCGATGACGTACTATGCCCCGCTCGGCACTGCCCTCTGCGCATGCGCACTCCGGGAGGCCTTTTGTCCTTCCCAAGCCGCCGTAGCCGGTGAGGGCGGGGCGTCCACTGGGCCCCGCATGGAGGCCGCGGGGTGCTCGGGCGCCGGGGAGGCAGGTGGGAGGGGCGCGTAGCAACGGGGCTGTTCTGAGGGGTTGGTTGCCCAGCAACGGGGCTGATGGCATAGGAACGGGGGGGAGCTGGGTGCCCAGCAACGCAGCGTTCTGAGGGGACGGGTTGCTTAGGAACGGGTGGGAGGGCTGGTTGCCTTAGCAACGGGGCATTGTGGGGGGGCTGGGTGTTCTAAGGGATTGGTTGCCCAGCAATGGGGCTGGTTGCCTTAGCAACGATACGTTGTAGGTAGGCTGCGTGCCTAGCAACGGGGCGGGTTGCTTAGGAACGGGTGAGGGGGCTGGTTGCGTTAGCAGCAGGGTGTTGTGGGGGGCTGGGTGCCTAGCAACGGGGTGTGGTGAGGGGTGGCTTGCCCAGCATTGGGGTGGGTTGCTAAGGAGCAGATGTTGTGGTGATTGCCTAGCAACAGGGCATTGCAGCGTGTGGGGCCACATCCTGCAGCGGGTCCTCACTGCTCCTCCCACCCCTTGCGTAGGCGCTGCCTCCAAGCAGGGCATCCGGGAGAGGATCTGGGCCCACCTGGAGGCGAGCGGCCTGGCCGAGTTCCCACGGCCCGTGCATCACCGCATCCCCAACTTCAAGGTATCGCACTGCCCTGGTGCTTGCTGCGGGGGTGACGGCTGCCAGGCCAACGCCGGACGCGGGCACAGCCAGGGATGGGCGGAGACGTGCAGTCACAGGCACGAGAGCTGCCCTTCGCCGGCTCAGCTGTGCCGATCCCTCTCGCCTGTGTCGCGGGCGGTGGGCTCTTCTGCATCGCTTCATCGGGGAACGTGTGGCAAAAGAAGTCCGTGTCATTATGCCCATTTTGCAGAGGGGGGAAACTGAGGCATGGGTCACCTTCAGCCTGGCCCTGGACTTGCATCTCCAGGGGTGCTGTGGGATGCCATTGTGCCCTGCTGCTGTAATAGGGCTGTGTACGTGATATGCAGGGGGGGCTATGATGGACAGTGGTGGCTGCCTCAGAAAACTGCAGCCCTCATCGCTGTGCAGGTGTGGGGTTGGGGAAGGATTTCATGTCAGAAGTGGCATTTAGTGCACGTACCAAATATTGCAGTATATTCAGGCACTAGGGTCTGTAGCTCTGCGATCATCCTGGCCTTTCATGTGCTTTGTGGATGAGCAGTCAGCACTATAGCTCTTTCCCTCTACCAGAGCTCCTGCACAGTGGTCATCTTGACACCCAGTGCTGAAGGCTTGATCATGCCTTTAGTTGTGGGAAATAAAGCAAGGACTTCGGTTTCATTGCACGCAAGACAGCGTGAGATCCTTGTATCCGTTCTGAAAAGTTGTGCTGTTGTCTCATGAAAACAGGGTGCGTCTCACGCTGCAGCCAGGCTCCCAGTTTTACCAGAATTCAAAATGGCCAGGACTGTTAAAATAAACCCTGATGCCCCCCAGAAGAATGCTCGATTTCTAACGCTGGAAGTAAGTGAAGGTGTTATTTTTGTTTCTTGTGTTCTCTTCATGCAGGGGTCTCACCAGGCTTGTCAGGCTATCCAAGAGCTTGAAATATTCAACAGAACACGTGAGATTAAAGTAGACCCTGACAAACCATTAGAAGGAGTTCGACTAGCAGCACTGCAGGTAACCGAATCCTCTCTGCTAGAGCACTATAGGACAACAGTGCTTGAACTGACCACGTCATCCAACATTTGTATTTTTCTGGCACCTTTGTATAAGAACCTTAAAAATGCTTACTGCCCAGTGTCCAAGTGAGAAAGAGAACTGGGTTTATTTTTTGGTATTTTTACAAATGAAGAACACAGCAAGTTGATCATGGAAACAAGAACAGAACCCAGGAGTTCAGTCTTCTGCTCCAACCACTAGATATATTCCCTCTTCTGTGTGTCAGGTAGCTGCAAGTCATCAGGATACAGTTTTTACTTTACCTTTTTGTGCTTTTAAAGATTGAACTCAATCAGTTCATGAAAGGTATTACTGATGCAGTTGCTTGCTATGCAACAAGACAACACTCGGTGACTCCAGAGGCCTTTCCCAGGGCTTTAACCCCCTGTACGTTAGAGAACACAGGAACAAAATGCTAGTCAAAAAGTTGCTGTATTGTGAGTTGTATCAAAATATAAACTTGCAGTCCACCCGTTTTACCCCAGAAGCCCACAAAATCTGATTTGAAGCTGCAATATAACTTTAA